GCCTCCTGAGCTCCAGATTTCTCAGTCTAGAGAAGGGCAATTCAGCCACCAGCTTCAGCAAATCTGAACCCTGAGGACCACAGGCCTCAGGCACATGCCTTCTCTCTTCAGGTTTAGGCTCTGTGCCTCATGTTCACATGACAGGACCCAAGGAAAGTGGAATCCAAGTGCTGTGCTCCTCAAGTGGCTGGTTCCCAAAACCCAAGGTGCAGTGGACAGATACCGCAGGAATGAAGCTACCATCCCTCCCTGAGTCTCACACCCAGAACAAGGATGGGCTCTTTCATGTGGATTCATCCCTTGTGGTCATGGACAGCTCCCTGGGAAATGTGACCTGCTCCATCCAAAATCCCCTCTCTGGCCAAGAGAAAACGTCCACCATCTTCCTCCCAGGTCAGTGAGGCCCAAACCCGAGGGGCACTGGAAAAGCAGGGAGAGGGAATGAGGGCTGAAGGAAGCCTTGGAGAGGGGGCACAGCTTCCTCCATGCCAGTGTCTGATTGTGTCTACATATGCCTTTGTCAGAGCCCTTTTTCCCCAAGGCATCTGTGTGGAAGTCAGCACTGGCTGGGACACTCCCAGTTCTGGGGCTCCTACTCATAGGGATCAGCTACATTGGCTGGAGAGAACATCAAGCCAAGGAGAAAGAAAAAAAGAAAATGGAAATAGAAGCCCACGAAAGAGTTCAGATGACTAATGAAAAGGAAAGTGTACTTAAAACCAAAGGTAAATCTAGCAATAGTGCAAATGAGAGTTTCATGGAAGAGCTGAGGTATAGGAATCCAAAATGGCAAAGGACGTCAAGGGAGACACAGGGCACCATGCACGTGCAGAGTGGTGAGTCTTGAGCAGAGGAAAACACCGCAGGGGAAATGAGGTCAGTGAGCAGTGGGCATCAGGCCTTTCCAGTGCAGCTCCTCTAATAACACAAGGAATACACTTCTGAAGCACCCAAGAAATGTTAAACTCCCATGAAACACAGAATCCATGCCCTGTAATTGTTCTTAGCACTTGTCAATTTAGTTGGACACACATTCTTGCTAAACTCTCATTTAAATTATGTGATCCTCAATAGAGGGCCAAACCTAATTCATTTAGCTATTCCCAAACTCAGGAGCAGCTAAAACCCAATTTGACATATTTTTTATCTTATTTCAGAGGAACTCAAGGCAGACCTTGGTAAGTCTTGTTTCTTCTCATTCCTTCTGCAGTTTATCTTTTTCACACTTGTTCTGGACTTCTCATTGAATGTCGTTTCTTTCAGAACAGCGGAAGGCGTTATACAATAAAGGTAAGAGATTCTGCAATCCACTTGACGTCCCAATGCCCAACACTTCCTTAGCTTCCTCTCCTTGGGGAAAAAGACTATAGGAGATGTAATGAAGACTGGTGGAAGAAAAAGGAAAGAAGAGAGATGTGAAGCGTTACATTATGTCCAATCTTGTCTTACCTAGACTCTTTTCCTGTTTTAGATTGGAAGAAAGCCCTACTATATCCTGGTAAGTGAACTGCCAGCTTGAATTTTACCAAGTGTCTCTGATTATGAGCCTAGAAAGCAAACACATAAAGACACACACACACACAAGCACACACACACACATGCACACACACACACATGCACGCAGGCACACACAGCATTGATATCAGTGTGTGATACACAGTTCAAAAAACGTTTTCTTAATCCGGGTGTGGTGGCGCACGCCTGTAATCCCAGCACTCGGGAGGCTGGGGCAGGAGTTCGAGACCAGCCTGGGCTACATAGTGAGTTCCAGGTCAGTCTCAACTACATAGTGAGACCCTGTCTCAAAAACCAAAA